AAAATTGTGGGCAAAAGCAGCAAACATTGTCCTAGAACGTGTCTTGTTTAAATTAGGTGGAGTTGGTCAGATATTCCAGCCTAAACGTTCTATGAGTCCAAATAACCATAATTCATATCCATCTAAAATTTTGCCTTGGAAATTTTGTATAATGACAAGTAAAATATGATCATAAACCATAATTTTCTCCGTTTAAATTTTCACTTGCAGATACGTGGGAGATTGCATATTTTCTTTTGTAAAGCTATTTATAGTTCTTGCTACTCCCTCAACCCCCTCGAATATCTTAATTTTCAATTGCATTAGTATATCTTGTTTCACATGTATATTAAAAGGCAAAGTTCAGCTCTGTTTTATAAAGGTCAGTCAAATCCTTCTACTAATTTTCTTAAACATGAAGTTTGTTGGAGTTTCTTTTACAAGAATTGGTTGTATGTTTAAAGTAATAAAAAGTGCTGTTTTCATATACAAATAAAGAGAATCTTGAGGTTAGTCCTTAGGTTTAAAATCAGAAAGATTATGAAACTTGGTCCTGACTTCCCTTTTCATATAGTATTATCAATGACACAATGGGCTTGTTTGGTCTTAGATAAGATTTGTGAAAGGGAAAGGAAATGGACTAATATGTATTAAATGTCCACGGTTAAAGCTGACATCCTCCGCAGTCTAAACAAAAGAAGTTGCCAAACAGATTTTACTGATAAGGATTTTCTTAAGACCACTAATTTTTAATCCCTTTGTAACACATAAAGAACGATTACTATGGTGTAGCAAACAATTCCAGAATGGTTTTTATAACTAGAGGTCAGTATTGGTATCTTTACAATGGTCAGCTCAGGAATGAGTAATGGGTTATAATAGAGCCTTTTTAGGGACATTACAGTGTTGCTCACTCACACATTTGATGATTCTATCCCATGTTACATAATAAGGGTGAAATATTAAACTACAATTATTCATAGATACATGATATATATAGTTCTATCACATAATTAAAAAATTAAAATAACATCTAAAGACCTTGCAGTCTGCACAAGCTCGGTTTTGCTGTATTGTGACTTTCTTGGGTTACAATATCTAAAACCATTGTTAATTTCAGAGAAGCGAGAATCATATAATCTAGCTATCTACCCAAATATCAACAGTCTAGAAAGTGTCTGAGAAACATAATTACATTTAACCTTTGAGATATGTGATGGTCATCCCAGTATACAGAAAACTATGTCTGAAAGAATTTTAAGTAATTTAGAGATGGCCTTACAATCATTAACTTTCTCCTTCTGCCACTGAAAAGAAAAATCTCAAAAGATCCTATTGTTCCTCCACTCAAAGATTCACTTGCTATTGTAGAGTGTTAGTACAGAAATAGGAATAAAAAGCAGCTCCATGCCTTTCAATTTTTAATTTTCAACTAAGGATCATTGTAATTATACATTTGATAGTCTTTCAAATTTTCCTTAGGAATACTTTGTTTTTACTTTTCTTTTACATGCAAATGTTTCTCCCACTAGATTGCAATCTTCTTGAGGGTGGAAAGTCGCTGTTTCTAATCCATCATTTTATCATCCATTGCTCTTAGAAGTGCTGTCCCTCAACTTTGCCATGGCAGTTTTTGTTGTTGTTGTTGTTGTGTTGTTTACAGACGAGGTCTTTCTCTGTGCCCAGGCTGGAGTGCAGTGGTGCAATTATAACTCCTGGGCTCAAGTGATACCCTCTTCTCATCCTCCCGAGTACTGAGGACTGCAGGTGTGCACCTGGATATTTTATTTTTATTTCTTTTTAAAAATTTTTTTATTTTGTTCTCTCTTTCAGCATAACCATTTTATTTATTTATTTTTATTCTGTAGAGAAGAATTTTATTCTGTAGAGAGAATTTTATTCTGTAGAGAAGACCGGCCTATGTTGCCAGGCCGGTCTCTAACTTCTGGCCTTGGTGACTCTCCTGCCTGGGCTGCTCAAAGCATTGGAAGTACAGGCATGAGCCACTGCACCTGGCCCTCATGCTGATTTCTTGATAACTGAATTCAGTTTATCCCTGGAAAAGCCAATTCCATCAAAGACTGGAAATGTATTTGTGTTATCTGAGTGGAATTTAGCCAGTTATGGTTGATAATTTTCCAAGTATTTAGTTAAATTCAAGATTCAATTTTAGTAAGCTGATGATTCTTTCTGTCCGCCTTCTCTTCCTCCATGTAGTGTCTATGATCTCACTTTCATGAGGAGGCCTTTGGTGTTCATTTCCGTATCCTGGCCTGGTCCTGGGTACCTGTCCTTGGTCTGTCTAGTGGTGCTTCCTGGGCCCCGCTGAGGTGTGTTTTCCCGCGGGTTCCCTCACACCTCACTGACTCACTGCTGATGGTTCCACGAGTGGAGCAGCTGGTGGTCCGTTCCCTCCCACAAGTTCAATGTGTAGAGCCAGGCCCACGGGCACTGCTTCCTCCCCTACTCCCTGTGATGTGGTCTTCTCTCCCTTCTCCCTGGGTTACTCAGCTTATACTCTTGGATATGGAGTCTCCTGAGTCTCTATGGCAACAATTCCCTAGCAATATGCTAATTCTCACTTCTTAGCCATCTTCTGTGTCTCCTATGAGGGCCATAGGACCTTTAATTGTCCTATTTCGTGCGTGCTGGAGAGACAGAGAAGGAACAGGGAGTCGAGTGTGTGCTGGGCACCTGCAGGTCCTCTGTAAACATCACGTCGTCATTTTTACTCTACTGTGTGGTGGCCTCCTCAGAATTCCAAACAGAAAGTGGACGGAAGTTTCCTGACATTGAATCCATAGAACTTAAATGCAGTTTCTAAACCCCTGAAACCCACCAGCGCTTTTCTATCAAGAGCAAGCCATGGGAGGTAGGGCCCACTGCAGCCCTATGCTTTCTCGACGGTTTCTCTGAATTTTCACTCCTTTCCACCCACAGTCTCAGGTCCAAGAAAAAGGCTTTTATGGCACTCTTGTATCACATGAGAAAACTGTTGTTGTTGGTTTTTTTTTTTTCATACTTTTCATCTTACTAATGTTGTCGATTATAGTAAAAATTATATGGTAAGTTCACCAGACCTCTCTCTTGGTATTTAAAATCTAGCACCGAGCGTTCTTTTCTCACAAGTTTTATAGGATGGTAGACCTTCTTCAGAGTGTTTGAAAAGTCCTTTTTTAAAGTTAAAGCTGAAATGTGACTTCTTTGCTCTTGGCAGGGTTATACCCTTCCCAAGAACCAGTGAGGAGTAGCAACATTTATACTTTGTGAATACCACTCATATAGCCTTAGTTTTTCCAGAAACAAAAATTCAAGAAAAAGTTATGTTCACAAATTCTGATCTGCTTCTTTCATTAACGACATTTATTAATTAAACAGTAAATGTTTCTCAAGAGCCTATTATATACCAGGCCTTTCTAAATTCTGAGCTATGATACAGGAAAAAAGACACAAAATATATAAAAAGACACTTAAAAAATTACACAACAAAAACATACACAAAGCCAATAAGCCTCAAAGATTTTAAGCAACTAAGAGTTTACGTACTAAGGCAAACGAATCTTCATCTTGTAGTCAATAAAAATTGGAACCCTGCACTATAAAATTCTGTGATTTCACAGAATTATACAAATGTGACCGAAAGACGTTTCACATTCAAATAATATGCTAGTTGTTGCCAAGTTTATTGTACCATCTCTGCCCATCTTTATCTGCCAAGATCTTATAGGAGATTTGTGCTTAACTCTCAGTTGCCAACACCTTGCTTCATTTTCACTACAGCAATAGTGGTAGAATCTTCCTCTTTATGTATGATATTTCCTAGTTAGACTGAATTTTGTATAAAAGTTTCACGAGAAAATCAGAGTGTCGTTGTCTTCATATATTTTGTGTATATTGCTAATATAGATCTTTTGGGCAATTCATTTTTTTAAATCTTCTTTACCAAACTGCCAGAATGAACAATTATTTGTTAATAATAAATAACTATATTTAAGTGCTATATTTAAGCATAAGTGCTGCCCCAAGTCTATTGTTGTGAATTATTTCTTAATTTATAGCATGACTCTCAAATTTTTAAGTTATCATCCTCAGAAAATACGCAGCAAGAAAATATAAAACACAATGAGATGCAGTTTCAGAAAAGGTTACTTTTTTGTCATTCCTGGACAGCGATAAAAGGTTGGGTAAAACTTAGTTTTATTTCAAAATTAGAAGAATGTGTTTTTCTATTACAAAGCTTTTTTACCAGTGGCAAATCCCACAGATCTGCAGCAAACTCCATCTGATCCTTGCCTCCTCGGAGGAAAGAATTCAGCTGAGCGGCAGAAGTAAGTTTAAGGCAGGGGAAGGCTGCAGGAGCAGGACTGAGAGTTTGTTAAAAAGTTGTGCACATGTACCCTAGAACATAAAGTATAAAAAAAAAAAAAAAAAAAAAAAAAAAAAAAAAAAAAAAAAAAAAAAGGTTTCAGACCAGGAACGAAAGGAAGTAAAGTACACTTGGAAGAGGGCCCAGCGGGTGACTTCAGAGATCCAAGTGCCCTATTTCATCCTTGCCTTGGGGTTTTACACATCGGTGTGATTCTGGAGTTTGCAGTTCTACTCCCTTGATTGTTCCCTTCGGGTGAGCTGTCTGCATGGGCAGAGGCCTGTCAGCACTTGGGAAGGGCCACATGCTCAGTGTGTTTATTGAAGTTGTGCGCATGCTCACTTAAGGCATTTTTTTTTTTTTTTAAATGTCTTAAAAAAAAAAGAAAACTAGGATACATGTGCACAATGTGCAGGCTTGTTAGATAGATATGCATGTGTCGCGGTGCTTGGTTACCTGGGCACGCGGGTGCCGCGGTGCTTCGTCAGGTAGGCACCCGGGCGCCGCGGTGCTTCCTTACGTAGGCACCCGGGCGCCGCGGTGCTTCCTTACGTAGGCACGCGGGCGCCGCGGTGCTTCGTTACGTACGTACGCGGGCTCCGCGGTGCTTCCTTACGTACGTACGCGGGCGCCGCGGTGCTTCGTTACCTAGGTACGCGGGTGCCGCGTCCTTGCCAGGGGCATCCTGGTAAGCAGGCGGGTGCCGCGGTGCTTCGTTATGTAGGCAGGCGGGTGCCGCGGTGCTTCGTTATGTAGGCAGGCGGGTGCCTTGGTGCTTCCTTACGTAGGTACGCGGGTGCCGCGGTGGTTCCTTACGTAGGTACGTGGGTGTGCGTGTGCCATGGTGGTTTGCTACACCTATTGACCCGTCCTCTAAGTTCCTTCCCCTCACCCCTGACCCCTCAGCAGGGCCTGGTGTGTGTTGTTCCTACTTCAGGCGTTTTCCATTACCGGTTGACCATTCCTAGAGGAAGGTCATATACCAGTTAACTGTGCTATTTTGTTTCTTGGTGCCATGTTGGAGCGCAGTCATCCAACTCCTGAGATCTTATGGGAAGCTGCTGATCACCAGCGTCAGGTATTTTCTGTCTGTTGGGAGACTGTCTTTCCCTGGCGCTGGCTGCAACCAATTATTATGTTACAGAGATAGTTTAATAACCACCTGACCATCACCTGATGGTCACCTGACACTCCTGAGGGTCATCTCTCCTGCTTTACTCATGTCTGCATAACTGCCTACTCTAACAGCGTCTAAGAACGAGGAAACATGAGCTAAAATCTTGTCATTTTTCTTTGATTCATATTGTTTATTATGTATCTAAATAATAATCTGCGTTTCCCAGGGAGTTATACAAATCCTGAATTCTACAACAGAATAAATATTATTTCTACATATTCCAAAGCTCTTATTAAACCATACACTCCATGTCTGAACAACTCTCTTAATATCTGAGTGTCTGTCTAATCTTTCTATTTACTGGTGAATGGAACTTGTCTGGTATTATCCCAGTAATTCCTCTGTGTACTTTATCAACCCTTTGTGGTGCAACATGACAAGCAAAGGGAGAGTTGCTAATATTAAAGAGAGGGAAAAAAAAAAAAAAAGGTCAGGTGCAGAGGCTCATGCGTGTAATCCCAGCACTTTGGAAGGCCTAGGTGGGTGGATCATCTGAGGTAGGAGTTTGAGACCAGCATGATCAACATGGAGAAACCCCTTCTCTACTAAAAATGCAAAAACTACCTGGGCGTGGTGGCATGTGCTTGTAATCCCAGCTACTTGGGAGGCTGAGGCAGGAGAATCACTTGAATTTGGGAGGTGGAGGTTGCAGTGAGCCGAGATTGTGCCATTGCACTCCAGCCTGGGCAACAAGAGTGAAACTCCATCTCAAAAAAATAAGCAAAACCCAGAAGCAATGAGTCTCAGATTTCCCTTATAGAAATTCTGTATTATTATGTATAATTTTTATTAAGCATATGTAGATCAGTGATGTGTCAGGAATCTCAATGAATCTTAATTATCTTAGTAGAAAACAATAGCCACTCAGTAGCTGCTTATGCTGTCACTTCTAAAGGTAGATTCTTTGGAAACTGTTGTTGAATGTGATAGAGCAACCCTGAACTGCATTAAAAAGAAAGAAAATGGCTGCTCTCATTAAAAGCAAAACCTCAGTGCTCACCTTTGCAAATAAAAGCACTAGATTCAACCAGTTCAGACATTGCAAGAGGCCAGTGTACATCTTCCTTTAGCTGGGTTAAGTTTCATGAGTCAAGACAACAATTTTACTTAGGAAGTCTTTTCTTAACATCAGCTCTAGGGAAGGTATCATTTGCATAAATGTTCTTCGTGGCATATATTAAAATTGTCCATAAGGACAATTTGCTACCCTGCAGATATAAAACATTGAAAGCTGTTGTTTTTCACCTAATTCTTTAGCTTTAAAGAGATTTATGCTTCTTAAAATAAGGACATACGTATGTCATATATATAAAACTGTTGACACAAATTATTTCTGAATGTTAATGGTGAGTGTGTATTTCTGATTCTTGCCACCTCCATTATTTTCTAAAATTGCAATTGGAAGCAACTCCCTTATTTTTCATTTTTTGTATGGCTAAAACTGAGTGAAATTCAATTATCACAAAAATAGTGTGTTTTGATTTTGTGTGTCCTGGTACTTTTGAAATTTGGAGTGTGGCCCTATCACTCCCAAGCCATTGTGTTGTCTAAATCGATTGTCTTGGTAGGCGCACACAATGGCGAAATGTTTTCATGAATGTATAATGAGCCACATGCCCCATCTGAGCACTCAGAAACAGGGGAAGAGAATTAAAGTTAGGTTAGTGCTCATCTCTTGCCAGACTTTCTCTCCTCCATTTTGTTTGGCTTCCTTTGAGATTCAGTGACAGAGAGGAGATATATCACCTGCTGCCAGAGAGAACAGGCCCCTCACCACCTTCCTGAGTTTACATAATGTTTAAGAACATGTGTTGTCAAAGAAATATTAAGGAGTCAAATTTCACAATAATTTTAACATATTTCTCTGTTACACTCATGCACATTATTTTTAACTAATGATTGACAGGGGCTTATTATGTGAATAATTGATTTTGGTTTGGCTGCTGCATTTCTGATATTGCCACTGGCTGTTTGTGTGTAGTTTATTCCATAAATTGTGTAGTGATACAGACCTTTGAAAGGAATGGACTGTGCTGTCTTTACATGTTCAAATCAAAATTTTTATACTTATGAATTTAAGTTTGATATTTTGCAAAATTGACCTTGCTAAGTCCTTCTCAAATAAGTTTCTTGTTTTGTTTTTGTTTTTTTTCTTGAATATATTTCATTCATTTCAGAGCTGGGGAAATGACCTCTGAAAATTTAGAAGACTGGATGTCACTGACTACCAAATGATGATCACTTTTGAATTAATAAAAATTCTTCAGTAATAATGTGTGGATTACAATGTTATTGGTAGAAATAATTTTTATGGTGTTGAAGAAAGATTAACTGATTCAGAGTTGGTACGTGATCTATGCTACAATTTCCGTGGAAATGTATGTCTCTTTCTACAAAGACATGATTGTACATCAGTGGCACAAATGAGAAAGTGCTAATAACATTTTGGCCCCGACTACCAAGTGTGCATCTCTTGTCTTAGTTTTGCTTGTTACAGGTGGCTATAGAATTCTGAAATTTGGCGAATTGATGGAAATAAACTCAAAGTACCTTATACTGTTTCCTAGAACATTTACAAAGAATACTAAACATCTTATTGAGAATGCAACATTTCTTCCAGATGGTCAGGAAGAAGATAAAATTATTTATTCAGCAAATATTCATTAATAGCCTATGCTATGGGCAATGGATACAGAAATAAAAGTAGGACATGATCCCTGCCTGCAGAAGCCTTCAAGCCCTGTCATGGAGATAGACACAACAGGAGATAATAAAATAGGCTAAGGATTTGTTAGAAGGATGCAGTCATGAGAGCAGAGAAAAGAAGAGAATCCAATTCAGGACAAGGAATAGAGGCTACAGAGAAATTTTCTGAAAGTGATGCCAGAGCAAAGTCCTTACCGAAAGGAAGAGTAGGTGTTGTGTAGATCAAAATCAGGGGGGTTAGCATTTTAATAACGGGTCAGCTTACTCAAAGTCCTGTGGTAGGGCACTCCACAGTCTATGCAGGAAATGTAAGTGGGAAAGTCCTTTACAGATGGAGTCAGGAGCAGCCACCAGGTCACTGAGGTCCTGTGATATCCTGCTAAGGCGGTGGTTCTTAAACCAAAAAAACAGTCTGGTTTTATTTTTATTTAACTTTGATGGTGAGATGGTTAGATGCATACTTTAGGTAGCTTTCTAGTGGTTAAGTGGGAAGCAAGACTCAAACTCTTTCTGTAGATACTGCTCTGGAGAACCCCAAACAAAGATGAGGGCCTGAAATTGGGCACTACCTGAGAGCCAGGTGTGTTCAGCCCAGAGGCTCCATCTTCCCTTTTCTTTGTCACCACGTGTGCAGTAAAGAAACAGGCAACATGGCACCAGATTTCTGCATAAAAGATTAGAATGGGGGTGGCCAGATTTTTGCATGTTAGGCAAATGGCACACCTGGTCTGACCGATCTTTTGTGCCCTATGTAAAAAAAACCTCCACCTCCTGAAGCTCATCTATAAAACCTCCTGTACTTCATCGTGGAAGCAGCAACCCATTTTCTCTGGGACCCCTCTCTGTGCAGAGAGTTCTTCTCTTTCTTTCACCTATTAAACTTCTGCTCCTAACTTCACTGTGGTGGTCTGAGTCATAGCTTTCCGTGGCTGTGAGGGAATGAGTCTCAGGTATTACCCTAGACAATGAAGCCACTTCAGTATGCCTCATTCTCTTTTATCATTTTATTTGTTGTTACCTCTTCTGTTCTTAAGAAAACACAATCCTCATAGATGTCTTCATGAGATGAACAGTTTCCCCAGTTTTGAAGAGGTTGTCCTTTCAACATTGTGTGTTCTTGGCACATTTGTCAAAACTCAATTGCCTATAAATGCATGGGTTTATTTCTGGGCTTTCTGTCCTGTTCCTTTGGTCAACGTGTTGTTATGTGAGTACCATGCTGTTTTGGTTATAAGTGCTTTGTAATATATCTTGAAGTCAGTCTGATGCTTCTTTTTATTTTTTATTTTATTTTATTTTTTTGACAGGAGATAGAATTTATTGGTGAGTGTTAAGAAGGGGCAACACAGTGGAAGCCCTTATGAGTACTGGGCCCACCACTTGTCCAGAGGGCCATGACTGGGGCTGTACTTGACCCCACAGCCATCTGGGATAAGCCACTCCTCAGCCACCATGTCTTCAAATTCATCAGCATTGAACTTGGTGAAGCCCCACTTCTTTGAGATGTGGATCTTCTGGCAGCCAGGGAACTTGAACTTGGCCCTGCATAGGGCCTCAATCACATGCTCCTTGTTCTGCAGCTTGGTGCAAATGGACATGATAACTTGGCCAATGTAAACCCTGGCCACAGTGCCCTGGGCCTTTCCAAAGACACCTCACATGCCTGTTTGGAGTCTACATTGGGGTAGTGTAAGGTCAGAGGCAAGAACATACATCTGAAAGCCTGTCTCCCAAGGTCCCTTAGAGCAACCATACAAGAAATGAGCTACATACACTACCAAGGAAGTGGCTGTTTGCAGCCTTTGCACATTGGGCCCCCATGAGGAAAGGAACTCAGTCGGCTTAATTGGCTGCAGCAGCTTTGTTCTTTTTACTTAAGATTGTTTGTGGCTATTTGGGGTCTTTTGTGGTTTCATGCAAATTTAAGAATTTTTTTTCATTTCTGTGAAAAATAACATTAGAATTTTAATAGTGGCTGCATTGAATCTGTAGATCACTTTGGATAGTATGGATGTTTTAACAATATTCTATTAAGCAATAAACACAGCATACCTTTCCATTTATTTGTGTGATTTAAAAAATTTTTTTCATCAGTTTTACAGTTTTCTGTATAAAAGTCTTTTACCAATTCAAATTTATACCTAAATATTTAATTTGTTGTTGCTGTTGTAAACAGGATTCTTTTCTTTATTCCTTTTCCAGATAGCTTTTTATCAGTGTATAAAAATGCTACCAATTTTGTATGTTGATTTTGTATCCTGTGACTTTACTGGATTTATTTATCAATTCTATCAGCTTTTGGTGGAGTCTTTACAGTTTTCTCTATATAAGATCATGTTGTCAGCAAACAGACAATTTCACTTTTTCTTTCCTATTAGGGTGACTTGTATTTATTTCTCTTGTCTATTGCTCCAGCTCAGACTTCCAGAACTCTGTAGAAAAGTACTGAAAGTGGGCATCCTTGTCTTCTCCCTGATCCCAGAGAAAAGCTTTCAACTTGTCACTGTTGAGTATGATGTTAGCTATGGCTTTGTCATTTATGGCTTTTATTGTGTTGAGTTACAATCCCTCTATACTTATTATGTTGAGAGTTTTTATCATGAAAGGGTTTTAAATTTTGTCAAATGCTTTTTCTCTTTCCTACTTCTATCACAGTGATAGATCTCAAATTCTGGCTTCTGGCTTAGCATTTATAGGTAAGTAGGCAGTAAAGATAATTATCATAGTACTTAAAGTCAAGAAAGAAACAATTTTGACTGAATATCAAGATATAGTGTGTTTGTGTGTGTGCGCGCATGTGTTATGGGTGTTTGTTTGTTGAGTTAGCTGCGAAAATGCTCCATCTGTCCACTTTCAAATAGCAATCTGTCAGATTGCATACTCCAAAGAAGGACACAGTAACAGCTCTTATCTTGCATGCTATTTTGCAGTGTGATATTGCCACTCTGCTTTCTGAATCTGGGAAAATCCTGTGATCAATGGAAATACGGTAGAAGTGACACTGTCCAAATCCAGGAGTAGTCCTTTAGAGAAATTGGAGGCTTCTTCATGTTCCTGCCTCACACACACACTTCTTCTGTTGTTTTCTCTTAAATTCAGCAATGGTGCTATGAGAAGCCCATACATCAAAGAAAAGACAAGTGTAAGCACTTGGATCATAGCCCCAGAGGACTCTCAGTCGATAGAAAACATTGACTGGCATCCATGTTGGTGAAACAGCCTTGGACATGCAGCCTTTCCCAGATGATACGGGTCCAACCACTTCTGACTGCAAATGCATAAGCAACCTTAAGCAAGGACTGCCTCGTTCATTCCCACCTACCCATTCAACTAGGAGAGATGATAAGTCATCGTCTTAAGTCACCAAGTTTTGGCATCATTTGTTCAACAACAATAAACCAGAACACCCACTGAAAAGGCCATCTGACATTTTTGGAACATTTTCCCTAAATTTGGATAGATCTCCACGTTCTAAATAGTGCCTTTTCAAAGTAGACTCTAGAAATATACATTTCTCAGTTTGCTTGTGGTTAGTGTACAGGCTTGTGAAAGATTCTTACGCACCTCCAGACCCCACACAGAGGTGAGCAACTTTAGGACAAAGGCTCTGTGTGGAGAATCCACTCCGTTCTAAGAGTGGCAGCTGGGGACATGAGGAAGATTTCAAAGAAGGTTCCTAATGCAGTATGTTTGTGGGTTCCTAATGCAGTATGTTTATGGGTTGACAACAGCGTGCAAGTTAAACGCCTCAATGGGATGCAGCAGAAGGCCAGCTTGGGGTATGGCGTGCAGCATTTTCCCTGCAATCTTATCTTTGAATATATTTCTTTGGCCATTCTAATAATTCTGTGATTAACTCAATAACCTTTAATTAACATATCATCTACTTAAATGATGTAGAGTGAATTCCATATTTTTTGGAGGTTAAGAAACCTAATTTCTATAGAAAACGTGATGCATGCATGACCCCCAATTTAGGCACCTGAAGTGAGCAAAGGCATGGCAAGAGTTTTTCTGGTCACCTACAGCAGAGTCAACAGAAATACTGATGAAAGAGACTTGCAGATTAAGTACAATATAAGGAATAAAGTTAATAAAATTGAATTGTATTAGAGGTTTTAGTTAATGAGTAGATTTTAGCTATTCTTGTTGCACACAAGGAAAGTAACTGTGAGATAATCTGCTTCACTATAGTCGTCATTTAACTTTTGATGATATTCTATGACATTATGTTCTAAACATCAAGCATACACAATAAAGTTTATTTTTCTTTTAAATAGGAAGATACAGCTTGAGGAGCCAGATGCAGCGGCTCACTCCTGTAATCCCAGCGTTTTGGGAGGCCGAGGTGAGTGGATCACTTGAGCCCAGGAGTTAGAGATGTCTGGGCAACATAGTGTGACCCCAATCTTTACAGGAAATAAAAAAATGTGCTGACCATAGCACATGCCTTTAGTTGCAGCTACTCAGGAGGCTGAAGTGGGAGTATTGCTTGAGCCTGGGAGGTGGATGCTGCAATGAGCTATGATCACACCACTACACTCCAGCCTGGGTGACAGAGAGAGACCTTGTCTCCAAATACACAAAAAGATACAGCTCCTTACCATGCTTTTGCAACAGCTGGACTTCTCCAGTTGGTTCCCAAAATATGCTGTCAAATGGCTGGCTCAGCACAGCTCACCAAGGCATTCCAAGAGCTGCTCGGTGCATGCTTCCTAGACCCGTAGCATCAGAAACAAATTCACCTTGAAATTTGTTAAGAATGCAAATTCTCATGTCTCAGTCTGGACTTCTGACACTCTTGAACTGTGTTCCAATAATTTTTGTTTTTCTAAATAAGGCCATCAGGTAATTTTGAAGCATGTGTAAATTAAAGAACCCTATTCTGCAAGGACTTCCTATTGACCTGCTGAAAACATGTATTGATTCTGGTATGGTTCACTTCCTCAAAACCCATATTGAAGGAAGTGCAGTGGCATTTCTTCATCTGGATTCTAATAAACTCAGTAAACACATTTTCTCCAACATCAGTGACGATATTTCAGCAACCTAATTTGCAGATTTCTAACTCCTTATCAAATAAATTAACTAGATGAAGTGTGCTCCTAGCAATTCTTTACTTCCTTTGGGCTCCTCTTTTTTTTTTTTTATAACAGTGACTCTACTGTTAGTTTCAGAGGACGTTGGCTCAAAGTATATCTTGGATACTGCTTTTTTATTTTTTATTACTTTTATTTTTTATTTTTTGAGACGAAGTTTTGCTCTTGTTGCCCAGGCTGGAGTGTAATGGTGCCATCTCAGCTCACAGCAACCTCTGCCTCCGAGTTTTAAGCGATTCTCCTGCCTCAGCCTCCCAAGTAGTTGGGATTACAGGCATGCGCCACCATGCCTGGCTAATTTTGTATTTTTAGTATAGATGGGGTTTCTCCATGTTGGTCAGGCTGGTCTCAAACTCCCAACCTCAGATAATGCACCCTCCTCAGCCTCCCAAAGTGCTAGGATTACAGGCATGAGCCAGCGCACTTGACCCAGTTGCTGCTTTTTTAATCTTGGTGAATATTTTAGCTTTCCTTTTATGCTTAATAGTCCATTAATGTTTCTGTTTAATAGCAGAGCCTGCTTATTCATGTTACAACTAATCACAATTTTTATTCTGTAAGGTTTCCTTTTCATCATGGACTGCAGATAAAACAAATTCATATGTTCTTCCTGCACAAAGTTGTATCATCTTTAAATGTTTCCTGATTTTCCAGTCAACATTTCATATGCTCTGCTCCTCCACCCTCAAACTATGCTGATGTCCCAAGGTTCAAACATCTCATAAGTATATAAGGTCCAGTGATGTTCACATTAAACTGTGCCAAAAATTCTTTGTAAACTAAAGAGTTTTACATAAGATGCTGAGCCATCAGTAAGATTCAAGGATTTAATACTGGCAAAAATGCCTTTCTGATTTGAAAAAGGTATTCAGTATGATATATTTAGACATATGATATATTAGACATATATTAAGCCCTCTGCTCCAAAGCACAGCAATTTTAAAAATCTGAATTCAAATGAATCTCTAACAACAAAAATGTCAGGCACTGTGGCTGATGGTGGGGGAGGTCGTTTTGATCACATATGTCTATTACCCCCAGAAAAGCAGCTGTTTGCCTTAGTAAAATAACTGGTGTCCCTAATGTTATTAGTAAGTTATAGTAGATGAACGTGCCCATTCATGTCAGGCAGACTTGGCTTTAAAATCTGGCTTTGTTCCTCCTTACTCCTGTGTGATTTGAGGAGTACACAGCAACTTTTCTGTGCACAAGTTTTGTTCTGTTTAAACTGAAGACTCCTTATGTAAAAACACTATTCAATAGTCATCAAAGGCTGACAAACACAATGCAGCAAACATTCCTCCTCCCTGCCTGTGTAGGAAATTGCTCAACATCTCTGTTCCAGGGTATACCAGGGTTCAGCCTTTCCTCAAGAATGTGACCATCGCAATTTATTCCACCCATGTCTGCTTACACCAACAATCGATGTTGTCAATGACATCAGACAGCTAGTCCCAGACAGTTTCTGCTGTCTGAATCCTCTTACTTGTGTCTATTATTCTTTCGTGTCTTATCATTAATAACAGGATTGATTATTTATTCCTTAATATGTTTTTAGTTGCAAGACACAGAAGCCCTACTCAGAGAAACTTAAAAAAAATGTTATGGGCCTGAAGATTAAAGCCTTTCTTCTCTCTGTTTGTCTTCTTTGATGTGGACTTATTATGGTGTGTTTTTTTCCATATTGCCCTGAGAAGCCCCCTATGTACATTGTATCAGCTCAGAACTGGAGCAGAAAGGATCATCTTTCCTTTTTTAATGTTTTAAAAAGAAGTTAACTTGTATGAGTACACAGTAGGTATATATATTTATGGGGTACATGAGATATTTGGGTACAGGTATACAATTTGTATTAATCCTGTCAGGGTAAAGGGGGCATCCGTCACCTCAAGCATTTAGCATTTCTTTGAGTTATGAATGTTCCGATTATACTCTTTTAGTCATTTAAAAATGTACAATAAGTTATTAGTCACTGTAGTCACCTGTTGTGCATTCAAACACTAGAACTTATTTATTCTAACTCTATGTTTGTACCCATTAACCATCCCCTTCATAGTTCAAGTGAAGATACAAGCACGCCTCTTGGTTCAGGATGCCCACATGACCTATGTGTGGTCAACCTCTGTGTCCAGCTTCTGAGACGGACGCTCCCTGGGAGACCTGGAAGGATGTGATCAAACACATGCAAACTACAGGGGCTGAAAGTGAGAAAAGGTGGTTTTCAGAGGAAAATCTTCAGTGTTAACAGACAAAGAGGGAGTGATGGATGAACAGGTAAAACCAGCAGCTGTCCGGTGTACTGTGACTTATAACTTTTACCTGGGCTGATAAATAAATAATGGCTGGAGTCATTATGAGTGACAGCATTCTTGTTCTGCAGACACTATAAATCTGGATAAAATAAGCAATTCTCTGCTGAGATGATAGAAGAATCTATCTTCCCTCACTTCGCCAACACAGTGAGAATAGTGGACTCTGAATTCTTGATTTTTCTGGCTGCATCGTGAAGAGTATTTCCTGAAACCGTCAATGAGGATGTACAGAAACAGTAGGAAAATGTGGGCTAGGGAAATCAACGTAGGATGGTCCTCTTCATCCCAGATATGATCAGTGTTCCTGCTGTGAGAAGTGTCTTCTTCACTAACCTTTTAAAATACGTTCTTCTTAATATTATAGATGATTGAAATTTTTAATGTTTTTTATTATTTAACTCACAAAAAATGTGAATATAATCTCTGGAGGAGAGGGAATTGGCCAAATATTATACTAAGAAGTGTGGCTAATTTATTCTGTAACTTGGCCATGAACAATATATGGGAATAAATGAATAACTCAAATAGAAGACTTTCTTTTGGTCCGGGAAAACAGAAGGAATTTGAGTATTAATCTTCGGTCTGCTGCCAGTCTGCTGCATCAGGAACTATTTTTGATACATGAGAATGATGGAAAAATTGAGAGTTCTCTTGACTTTACCCCCAGTTCCTATAAAAAAGACAATTAAACCACAAAAAGCTATTTAAGAAAATATTTGCTGTCTCATTGCCAGATTAACAATTAAATGTTCCTATCTGTTCGTAACGTCAAAGAGAAGATGAATGGAAGCAATAGTGTTGTCAGCCGCAGCCGAATCTGTATCAACTGCATATTAGGACAGTAGCTGCATGTCACCAATACCCCAGCCATGCCATTTTTTTTTTTTTTTTTGATATGGAGTCTCGCTCTGTCACCCAGGCTGGAGTGCAGTGATGCTATCTTGGCTCATTGCAACCTCCGGCTCCCAGATTCAAGAGCTTCTCCTGCCTCAACCTTTCGAGTAGCTGGGATTACAGGTGTACACCACCACACCAGATAATTTTTTGTATTTAAGTAGAGATGGGATTTCGCCATATTGGCCAGGCTGGTCTCGAAATCCTGACCTCAAGTCATCTGCCCACCTCTGCCTCCCAAAGCACTGGGATTACAGGCCTGAGCCACTGTGCCCTGCTCCATGCCCCGTTTTTACCCTCACTCTATGTACGCCACTGCACTTTTGGCTTCTCATAGGCCTAAGAGTCTGCTTGATTATGGTCAAGGGAGAGGGATAGGCTCTAGGAGATTAACTTGTATGACCAGATGGCAGTAGTTTTGTCAGCAAACACAGATAAATGTTATCTAGAAAGATTATCTTCTCTACACACCCTAACAAAAGTCATTTTTAACTATGCTTTGTATACAACGGTCCCTGACATGAAAACTCCAGGTTATTTAACAAGAGGTTACCAAGGTTTACTTGGCTTGACCACTGCAAAGGGCAAATGTAAAAACTTGTTAGAGCGATGAGGTGCTTATGTTTCACCTCTTCAGACAACTTCTTGGACAAGCATCAAGGATGATCTCAAGCCACCTAGGACCATCAAAGAATAATTCTAATCCAGCATTTTGCAGGAATGTACATTCTATTTTATTTATTTTTTGAGACAGGGTCTCACTCTGTCACCCAGGCTAGAGTGCGGTGATGTCAGTTCACTGCAAACTCTGCCTCCTGGATTCAAGTGATTCCTCTGCCTCAGCCTCCCGAGTAGCTGGGGCTACAGGTGACTGTCACCATGACCAGCTAATTTTTGTATTTTTAGTATAGATGGGGTTTCACCATGTTGGCCAGGCTGGTCTGGAACTCCTGACTTCCAGCAATCCACCCGTCTGGATCTGCCAGAAAATATACATTTTAAAATATTAATGTAAAGATTAAAGATGGAGAAGAAGACAGTATTGTGTTCTGTCATCTTAAAATAGAAAGGCTGACTTTGGCCATTCCTTCGACTCAGGAAGTCCATTATTCAGGAAAATCAAACGGTGTAATGGTAGGTCTCTTTAGTAAAAGGAAAGGTTAAAGTAATGTTCATCTCTAGTCTACTCTAGCCTTTATAAGACAAGGATAATACTGACATGCTGCTGTCCGGGTATACACAGCAAGGCGGGGCCAATGAAAGGAATTTAAGGCAGAACTTCAAGTTGGGTAAAAAGAAATTTCACCTGCCTAATACCTTATATAACTTTACACACACACACAGACAGACAGACACACACACGTATGAGGTTGATCTGTCAAAGAGCAATGTGGGTTCTGTACAGGGAAGGAAATTTCAGCCTGCAGCTCCAATATTAATAATTACAAACAACTCACATTATACTAGTGCATAATATTCACAAATGTGCTTCAAGTTTCCATTAAGAAAACAAGCAAAAATATGTGTATTTCCTGCTTTATAGATGTGTCACATAATGAGTCAATAGAGAACAGTAGTCTCAGATCACATGAAGATAATAGACTGGAGATTGGGAATATTTCTGATATTAAAAGAGACCTTGTCAGTATTCTAAGAGACTCAGTTTTCAGTGAAAAAAAAAAAAAAAGCATGTGATAATAAATCTAATTGCACCCTAAAGGTATTACCTGGTTATGTACAAGTAACAATAGAAAATGAGTCATTGTATGTAAGTAATAAAATTAACCTTTCTGTATATTTGTATGTTGTCATATATGTGTATATATATATAATTTTAAAACATAATTCATAAAAAGCATCTATACACTAGGAAGAATGTAAGCCATGATGTCCGTTTTAAAGTTGTAAGAACACACAATTAAATATAATGAATTTAACTTATTTATAAATTAAATATAAATACAATTAAATATTTTTGTCATGGAAATACAGATAAATAGTAATGCTTTACTTCAGTCAAGGTCTTCTGAATTAAGGACAAGAAAAGTATCTAAGTTCACGCCCATACCCACAACGCAGAGCCTGAGTCATGGAGGTGCATGCATGTGACTCAGTTTTGAGGATTATAGAAATTGAAAGTGAATATGTGTAGTGTGTGTGCACATAACATAAAACAAACAACAAGATTTCCTACAAGCTACAGTAACCAGGATAGTGTGCTGTTGGCAGGAGAAATAATAAATAGACGAGTAGAATGTGATAAAGAGCCCGAAATTGACTCACAAGTATAATTTTTGAAAATAGTTTCAGAACAGTCATACAGGAAAAGGAAAGTCTTTTTAATAAACAATGCTGGAGTACCTAGACAGTCACAAGAAAGAAGCAAAAAAGGAAGGAAAGAAAAGAGGAAGAAAGGAAGAAAGGAGGGGAAGGAAGGGAAAGAAGGGAAGGAAGGAACAAGAAAAAGAAGGAAAGAACCTGTAACACACTGTTCACATCCTAGTGTCTGACAGCACTGTAGTATGACTATAGTAAACCATATTATATTCTATAGTTTCTGGTAGCTAGGAGGAGGATAGTGAATGACAAATGTTTGAGATGATGGATATGCTAATTACCTAGATCAGATCACTATACATTATATGTATGGAAGCTTCATGGGCCCAATGAATATTCACAAAGTATTTGACAATTTTAAAAAATAAAAATACAATTGCATATAGCAACCAAAATTTAACTCAAGGTGGATCAAAGTCTACTGTAAAAGATAAAATTATAAAGTTTTATGATTTGAGGGCAGGCCAAGTTTTCTTAGAAAAATCCCAGTAACCAATAGAAATCTTAAAAAGAGACAAAATTTTAAAATAACTTTATACATATTAAAGAAAACCACAAAATGTCTGTTCCTTGAAAGGCACTGTTTAGAAAATGAATAGGCAAATCACAGACTTGGAGAACATAATTGCAAAACATGCATTTAACAAAGAACTGGTACCTCATATATATATACACACACACACCCTGTATATACACATACACACACATATATACCATATATACACACACACCATATATATATACATGTCATATATATGGACATTGTATACACATATATACACCGTATACATATACATATATATATGCCTCAAATACATGTGCTGTGAAGGTTTCACAAATGAAGAAAGTAAAATTGAAATTGAATACCACCTTAAGACTTCATGGTTGGAAAGTGTCAGAGGCAAGGATTGAACTTGAGTATTTTTTGTCTCTTCAGAGCTCTTTATACCAGAGCCTGAGGCATGGAAGTGGACGCATGTAACTTATTTCTGAGGTGATGCCCAGAAGAAAGCGTAAGAGAATAGGGAGGAAAAGATCTATTACAAGGCGATATAAATATGTGATAGCAGTATATATAAACTTTCACAACACAGCATTTTAAAAACACAAAAGGAATGTGTGAAATAGTTGAAATGATGCTTTCCAAATAGAAGCTGCATGAATGTCTGGTGAGCACGTGAAAAAGTGCTCCAATCACTAGTGATCAGCAAAATGCATATTAAACCCACAATTAAATATGCACCATTAGAATACCTAGAGGAATAAAGATTTGTAACAGAAAAAGTTTACAAGGATATGGAGCGAATGGAGCACGAGGACATTGTTGGTGGCAGTGTATCATGGCACATGACTTTGAAAAAGGCCTGGCAATTTCTTATCAATGAAACATACAACTAACCTATCACCTAGAAATGTAACTTAGGTATTTGCACAAGAAAAAGACAATATACAATTACACACACATACACACACACAAGTTGTTCAAAAATGTCTGCAGAAACTGTATCCATAAGATCAAAACTTGGAAATCGCCAAAGTCATCGCCAACAGGGGAGGAAGCACGCTAGTTATATTTATCCAATTTATCATAAAAAAGTGACACATTGCTGATATCCACAAGAACATTCCTGGATTGCAGTTGCTGAAGCTTGGTTTCATTTTCCATGATAATTTTTGACAGCATGGATTTAAAATTTACAAATCTGTCAGTCTTACTCTTGGAAGTTCCTCCAGATTTCTTCTGTAGATAAATATTCCTTTAATGGCTTGCAGTTCTATAGCTTCATTTTCATTTAAAAAAAAAAAAAAAAAAAAAAAAAAAAAAAAAAAAAAAAAAAAAAAAAAAAAAAAAAAAAAAAACAAAAAAAAAATGGACTCAAGATCTAGAATAAGTACATATGACCAGCATCCTTACTGTATAAAAAATAAATCATGTGCTAAAAAACATGCACACGTATGTTTATTGCGGCACTATTCACAATAGCAAAGACTTGGAATCAACCCAAATGTCCATCAGTGACAGACTGGATTAAGAAAATGTGGCACATATACACCATGGAATACTATGCAGCCATAAAAAAGGATGAGTTTGTGTCCTTTGTAGGGACATGGATGCAGCTGGAAACCATAATTCTCAGCAAACTATCACAAGAACAGAAAACCAAACACCGCATGTTCTCACTCATAGGTGGGAACTGAACAATGAGATCACTTGGACTCGGGAAGGGGAACATCACACACTGGGGCCTATCATGGGGAGGGGGGAGGGGGGAGGGGGAGGGATTGCATTGGGAATTATACCTGATGTAAATGAAGAGTTGATGGGTGCTGACGAGTTGATGGGTGCAGCACACCAACATGGCACAAGTATACATATGTAACAAACCTGCACGTTATGCACATGTACCCTAGAACTCAAAGTATAATAATAAAAAATAAAAAATAAAAAACTCATCTGTAATATGGTGAATGCTTTAGGGAA